ATCCTTACAGATCAGTCATGGACTATCCTCGATTGATCTCTCGTAGGTCTACTCCTCCGGGTCACACCACAGGTTCTCCTAGCTACAGTCAAACAAGAACCCTTCCTGTCGCTCTCAATCTCCCATCGAGATTTCGCGTGAAGTCCCCGCTATTAGCGACTTTCTCCGGTACTTATGAATGCATTCTCTAGTGGCACTTCTGTTCAATGATATGAAAGGGTCATCGGTGAGAAAGGCCGCTATAAATTCGAAGGACCCTACTTCATCCATACAAACCCTGTTCTTTCTTCCACCTTCGAATTTTCAGATCTGGGTTGGCGAGTAGAAGCTAGAATTTGCCCTGATAGATCCTGGTTACCATTACTGAGACTGGCTTCCTTATTGTTCCACTTTATGCTATATCGATTCTTTTTTCTACCTTGCAGAGTATCTTGTTCGCCTGCCTGCCTTTCCCTAGTATTTTCAGGAATTTAGCCCATGTTCTCTCTGCCTTAGTAGCGCATTATGAAACGACGTGCAAAGAATTTACTGCCCGTCGATTGTGAGTTGTTACATTCTCTTGCAGGATAGGCAGGCAGTCTCCGTAGTTACATCTTTTCTTGTGGTCACCTCCACAGTATCCAGCAGACTTTCTTCCTGTCTGGCCGCTGCACCCGCTGGCGAACAGGGCCATATGCGTACACCTAGTAGCATCTGCATCACCTCCTTCCGCACAGTGATATTACAGTACACCCATATCTACTGCTATTTTCTTTATCTTGGAGAGACTATCATCTATCTATCTATCTATTTATCTATTATCTATCATCTATCATCATCTGATATCTTATATCTATATCCTATCTATCTATGTGTGGCCACCTAAGATGTTCCCTTCAATTTTCTCGCTGAACCGTTGAGATACTGAATGCCAGTTTCTCCACTAAAACTACATATATGTTATGCAAGGGGCACATATGGTCATGCATAATATTATTCTATTGCATTTTTTATTGCAGAGATATTGACAAAACTTCTTTTTTTTAATGGAACCCTATAGATTTGTTAGCTCATCATAACAAGCGTGAAGAGTCGAGTTCATAAATATGCATATCGCCACATGTTACATAACAGACCTTTTTCGAGAAATGAAGAGTTTTAAAGACGCACGCCGACTGCTGGTTCGCGTCCCACGTACCGTCCTTCCCCGAAACGCGCGCAACGAGAGCGGGCGCGAGCGCGAGCGCGAGCGCGGGCCGGCTGTCGCCAGATGTCGCAGGAGCTGCGCGCGCAGCAGAGGCGCACGCGCGAGGCGGAGGCGCAGGCGCGGGCGCTGCAGGAGCAGCTGCTGCAGCTGGAGGCGGCGCCTTCCGACCTGGGTTCGCAAACGCGCGCACTCCGCCCTCGACGAGCGCTTCGCTGACGGACTTGTCCTTAAATACTTTGTTAATAAGTTCTTAAATACTTGGCTGATAGACTTTGTAAATAAGTCCTTAAATACTTCTCCAAAATTCATTGTAAATAAATCTTTAAATACTTTGACAAAATATTCTGTAAAACGTCCTTAAATAGTTCCCCCCCAAAATTGCAAATAATCTCTTGAAAACTTCGCCAAAATACTTTTTAAACTAGTACTTAAATACTTCTCGAAAATACATTGTAAATAAATCTTTAAATACTTTGTCAAAATATTCTGTAAAACGTCCTTAAATAGTTCCCCCAAACCATTGTAAATAAGCTCTTAAATACTTCTCAAAAATACTTTTTAAACAAGTACTTAAATACTTCTCGAAAATACATTGTAAATAAATCTTTAAAGACTTTTCCAAAATATTTTGTAAAACGTCCTTAGAAAGTTCTCCGAAACATTGCAAATAATCTCTTGAAAAACTTCGCCAAAATACTTTTTAAAATAGTACTTAAATACTTCGCCAAATTACATTGTAAATAAATTCTTAAATACTTCGCCAAAAAGTTTGTAAATAAGTCCTTAGATACTTTGCAAAAAGTACTTAAATACTTCTCCAAAATACATTGTAAATAAATCTTTAAAGACTTTTCCAAAATATTTTGTAAGACGTCCTTAAATAGTTCCCCCAAAACATTGTAAATAAGCTCTTAAATACTTCGCCAAAATACTTAGTAAAAGTACTTAAATACTTTGTTAAAATACTTTGTAAACAAGTCCTTAAGTACTTCTCGAAAATAAATTGTAAATTAATTCTTAAATACTTCGCCAAAGTACTTTGTAAATAAGTACTTAAATAATTCGCCACAATACTTTGTAGACAAATACTTAAATACGTCACCGTAATACTTTGTAAATAAGCACATAAATACTTCCCCAAAATACTTTTTAAACAATTACTTAAATACTTCACCAAAATACTTTGTAAATACACAGTTCTTTTCTGCAGTATAATCGTACGGGTTCAGGGTTCAGCTACTTAATTCATGCACTTCATATCCCGTGCCTACGTCCAGTGGTGAAATCACTAAATGGCGTTTCTGTTGCCCGAGGGGCGCCTGTCCCGGGGGCGCTCATTTCATGCCCCTAGTGTTTCGGATGGACCAACTGAAATGTTTCAAAAATTTTCAACACAAATGAAACGTTTGTCTAATTCCACCTACGAGGTTCAAAATTGCAATTGTAGTGAACTTACAACCAAGAAACGTCTGCAATATTTAGGGATCATGAAAATATAATAGAGGAAGAAAATAATATGATTTATCCCACTAATTACTTAAATCTGAATTGTTTCTAGTAAATTATCAGAAATTTATGATGTTTTGTTAATGCTACTATCAGCAATTGTTAATATAGGAAATTTATGTTGTTTTGTTAATACTACGACCAAGAATTAATACTACTAAATTATTGGAAATTGATGCTGTTTTGTTAGTCCTACGACAAAAAAATTTTTCCAGTAAATTATCGGAAACTGATATTATTTTGTTAAACCTACTCGACGACCAACAATTGTTTGTACTACATTATCGGAAGTCGACGTTGTTTTGTTAATGCGTGGATACAATAAAAATGAATGGGTTTCAGGGGAGGAGGGCGGCGGCGACGTGGGCGGCGGCGGCGGCGACTCGGGCGACGGCGGCGACGAGGACGACGGGGGCTCCGTGGGCGACGGCACGGAGTCGGGCGGCGGCGGAGCGGGGGCCGCCCGCGCCCGCGGCCGCGCGCCGTCCCGCCCCGCTTCCGCGCCGCCGATACCGTGCGGTATCGCCCCGGAGCCCGTCGTCCTCGTCGCCGCGTCGCCGAGTCGCCGCGCGCCGCCGGCACGTCGCCGCGCCTCCTCCCTGAACCATTCATTTTTTTATTTTTGTTCCACCGCATTACAAAACAACGTCGACTTCCGATAACTAGTACACAACAATTGTTTGGTCGTCGAGTAGGTTAACAAAATAACTCAGTTCCGGGAAATTTACTGGAAAAATTTTTGTCGTAGGACTAACAAAACAGGCATCAATTTCCAAATAATTTGTAGTATTAATTCTTGTCGTAGTATTAACAAAAAAACAACATAAATTCCTAATATCAATTGCTGATAGTATATTAACAAAAACATATAAAATTCTGATAATTTAGCTAGAAACAATTCAGATTTAAGTAATTAGTGGGAAATCATATTATTTTTCTTCCTTATTAATTTATGCTCCTAAAATATTGCAGACGTTTCTTGGTTTCAGTTCAATACAATTGCAATTTGAACTCGTAGGTGGAATTAGACAAAAGTTTCATTTGTGTTGAACTTTTGAAAACATTTTTCAGTTGGTCCACCCGACACAATGAAACACTAGGGGCATGAAATGAGGCCCCCGGGACCGGTGCACCTCGGGCCACAGAACGCCAATTTAGTAATTTCACCACTGGACGTAGGCAGCGGGATGTGAAGTGAATGAATTATATAGCTGAGCCTGAAAACTCCGTAACGATTATACTGCAGAAAGAACGTGCGTATTTACAAAGTATTTTGGCGAAGTATTTAGTAATATTACCATTAAAGTAGTTAAGGCGGTATGTGTGTATTTATTTACAATGTTAATTTGGGAGTATTTAATAATTATTACATGTAGTTTAAGGCGAAGTATGTAAGTATTTATTTACAATGTAATTTGGCAAGTATTTAAGTATTTGTTTTAAAAAGTATTTTGGGGAGAGTATTGAAGTGCTTATTTACAAAGTATTAAGGTGACGTATTTAAATATTGTCTACAAAGTATTGTGGCGAAGTATTTCAGGTAGCTTATTACAAAGTACCTTGGCGAAGTTATTTAAGAATTAATTTACAATATATTTGAGAAGTACTTAGTACTTGTTTTTACAAAGTATTAAACAAAGTATTTCAATTATTTTTATCTAAGTATTTTGGAGAAGTATTTAATGAGTTAATTTACATGCTTTGGGGGACTATTTAAGGACGTCTTACAAAATATTTGGAAATCTTTAAACATTTATTTACATGTATTTTGGGAGAAGTATTTAAGTGCTTTTTGAAAGTACTAAGGACTTTGAAAACTTTTTGACGAAGTATTTAAGAATTTATTTACAATGTAAGTTTGGCGAAGTATCTAAGTACTATTTTAAAAAGTAATTTTGGCAAAGTTTTCAGAGCTATTTGCAATGGTTTCGGAGAACTTTCTAAGGACGTTTTACAAAGAATATTTTGACAAAGTATTTTACAGATTTATTTACAATGTATTTTCGAGAAGTATTTAAGTACTTGTTAAAAAGTATTTTTGAGAAGTATTTAAGAGCTTATTTCCAATGTTTTGGGGGAATCACTTTAAGGAGTTTTACAGATATTTTGACAAAGTATTAAAGATTTATTTACATGTATTTTCCGAGAAGTTATTTAGTCTTGTTTAAAAAGATTTTGGTGAAGTTTTTAAGAGTTATTTGCAAATGTTTGGAGAACTATTCTAAGGGACGTTTTCACAGAATATTTGGACAAAGTTTTAAAGATTTATTTACAAATGTAAATTTTCGAGAAGTTTTAAGTTACTTGTTTAAAAGAGTATTTTGAGAAGTATTTAAGAGCTTATTTACAATGGTTTGGGGAAACTATTTAAGGACGTTTTTACAAATATTTTGACAAAGTATTTTAAAGATTTATTTTACAATGTATTTCGAGAAAGTATTTAAGTACTAGTTAAAAAGTATTTGGCGAAGTTTTCAAAAGATTATGTTGCAATTTTGGGGGAACTATTTAAGGACGTTTTAAAATATTTTTGTAAGTATTTAAAGATTATTTACAATGAATTTTGGAGAAGTATTTAAGGACTTATTTACAAAGTCTATCAAAGCCAAGTATTTAAGACTTAGTTAACAAAGTATTGTAAGGGACAAGTCCGTGCAGCGAAGTGTAAGCGCTCGTCGAGGGCGGATGTGCGCGCGTTGCACCCAGGTCGGGAAGGCGCCGCCTCAGCTGCAGCAGCTGCTCTGCAGCGCCCGCGTCGCTGCGCCTCCGCCTGCGCTTGTGCGCCATCTGCTGCGCGCGCAGCTCCGTGCGACATCTGGCGAACACCGGCCCCGCGCTCGCGCTCGGCTCCGCGCTCTCGGTTTGCGCGCGTATTCGGGAAGGACGGGTAGTGGGACGCGGAACCAGCAGTCGCGTGGTGTCTTTAAAACCTCTTCATTTCTCGAAAAAGGTCTGTTATGTAATTCGGCGATATGCATATTTATGAACTCGATTTTCACGCTTGTTAGAATGAGCTAACAAATCTATTAGGGTTCATTTAAAAAAAGACAGTTTTGGTCAATACTCTGCAATAAAAATGCAATAGAATAATTATTATGCAATGACATATGTGCCCCTTGCACATATATGTAGTTTTAGTGGATGAACTGCATTGCAGTATCTCAACGGTTCAGCGAGAAAATTGAAGCGGAACATCTTAGGTGGCCACACATAGATAGATACGGATAAGATATATGATATCAGATGATGATAGATGATAGATAATAGATAAATAGATAGATAGATAGATGATAGTCTCTCCAAGATAAAGAAAATAGCAGTAGATATGGGTGTACTGTAATATCACTGTGCGGAAGGAGGTGATGCAGATGCTACTAGGTGTACGCATATGGCCCTGTTCGCCAGCGGGTGCAGCGGCCAGACAGGAAGAAAGTCTGCTGGATACTGTGGAGGTGACCACAAGAAAAGATGTAACTACGGAGACTGCCTGCCTATCCTGCAAGAGAATGTAACAACTCACAATCGACGGGCAGTAAATTCTTTGCACGTCGTTTCATAATGCGCTACTAAGGCAGAGAGAACATGGGCTAAATTCCTGAAAATACTAGGGAAAGGCAGGCAGGCGAACAAGATACTCTGCAAGGTAGAAAAAAGAATCGATATAGCATAAAGTGGAACAATAAGGAAGCCAGTCTCAGTAATGGTAACCAGGATCTATCAGGGCAAATTCTAGCTTCTACTCGCCAACCCAGATCTGAAAATTCGAAGGTGGAAGAAAGAACAGGGTTTGTATGGATGAAGTAGGGTCCTTCGAATTTATAGCGGCCTTTCTCACCGATGACCCTTTCATATCATTGAACAGAAGTGCCACTAGAGAATGCATTCATAAGTACCGGAGAAAGTCGCTAATAGCGGGGACTTCACGCGAAATCTCGATGGGAGATTGAGAGCGACAGGAAGGGTTCTTGTTTGACTGTAGCTAGGAGAACCTGTGGTGTGACCCGGAGGAGTAGACCTACGAGAGATCAATCGAGGATAGTCCATGACTGATCTGTAAGGAT